CACGGGTGTTGGTGAAGGGTAAAAGGTGTCAGTGTGTGTCAAACCTGCTCAGGCCCAGGCTGCTGGGTGTTAGGAGGGCTGTTTGCTCCCGTGAAGCCTTTGATAGAACCACCCCCCCACCTGAAATTAGTCTCCAAAGTAGCTGAGTCTGGGGGAATGGGAATCTTGGGCATGAAAAAAGGTTAAAATAGAGGCTGGCTGAAAAGGGAGCCAAAAACCCGTTACTGTTCTTGGTCAAGTTCACTGGTTGCACCAGCCCTTCGGCTGCCTGGTGCTGAGTGTTTGCAGGGTGAGCAACAGCACAAGCAGCTTAGAGAGACTTGTGGCATCTGCAGGAACCAGGAACGGGAGGGGAAAGGTGGGAGGGTGAATGTTCTTTTTGATATCACAGAATATCAGAAGGTCTGAAAGGCTTCATTGTCTTCCTGATTTTTTTTAAAATGGAAACTGAGATCTTTGTTAATGTGGAAAGTCCTGCCATTAATGTGGAAAGTTCTGCTCTCGTTCAGAATTAGATCAATATCCAGTACGTGAGACCTGAGTGAGGACGAAAGTGAGTTTTATTCTGTGGCTTTGTTTGTATCCACTAAACTGTCAAAATACTGGAAGTAATGATTCTCATTCAGATTCACCTTTGACTCATGCTTGAGCCCAAGACAGAGACAGTGAAAGTCTGATGTTTCTAAAACCTCCAAAGGAAAAACGAGCAGAAATATTTTTAGGCCTTTCTGGATTTTTTATAAAGAGCAGAAAGGGAGATAATTTATCTATAAAACACAGTTACACAACTGAACTACAAATCTTTGGGGCTGATGGAAGGGTCACTGGGTGACACTGGGCATACAGAGATATGAGGGATTGCTAAGTCACAGTCAGCTTTCCAGGCTTAATTTAGGATAAGGTTTAAATGAAGGAAATACAGTTCCAGTTTTGCAAGCTTGGACCAAATGGGAACAGATCAAACTGGGGACCACCCTCACTGTAATGCTGGTGTCAGCCAGAAGGGACTCAGTCCAATTGCCAACAGCTATTCCAAATTCCTCTCAGATTCTGGCCCCGGTAACTGGACTTGCTAACTGCCACAGCTCCAGAGAAAGGTGCATTTTAGCTCAATTTCCTCTCTTGGTCCATTAACCAAAGGCCACAGAGCAGCTGCAGCCAGATGGGCAGGTTACCACAGCCCACACCTGTCCCAGCCAGG